GGTTTTCTTTATGCTATCAGAAAGCTCAAAAAGTTGGCCGCCTTCTAGCTGTTTCATAAATATTCTTATGTTTTACCTTAGCTTTTCCATGTTCACTTTTAAAACTTCTCTTTATTCCACCTGGCATTTATTATAAGATAAAAAGAAAGGGTCAAAATGTCTTCAATACTACCTTATAGCATTTGATTATCTTTTTCTTTCCCATGGATTGATGTCTGTTATTATGTTTTATCCACAAGATACTTTTATTTTTATTTATAATAGCCTTTATTTTACTAATATCTGCTTTGTTCCATTTATTTACAAAAATAAAGTTATATTTTGTGTTGGCATAAAGTGATTCATTTATTTGTGGCTTTATATTTTGTTTTAATATCTGGTAAGGTTGCTCCTCCAATTATGTGAATTTTCTCTCTCTCACAGTCACATCTCCAGAATACTCTAAAGGCATCCAGTCAGTTCAACAGTGAGATTTTTGCCAAAGAAATAAATATAATTTGATATTAAGGGAGTGTCAAACTTATAATTTGGAAATATTATGTGAGTCAGCTCAGTTAACATGTTTAGGGGATTAACTATAAAAAATAGATATTGAACAACCTTAATATTCAATAATATATTATAAAAAAGAGTTACAAGAATTGTGGAGGGCAGCCTCACACTAATTTCCATTAAGGGATGATTATACACTGTTAATTTTGCTCATCAGCAACTTGATGTGTACAAGTTTAGGGTTTAGGATTTTCTATCTTTTTTTTAAGATTTTATTTATTCATTTGAGAGAGCGAGAAAGAGAGAGAGCACATGAGAGGGGGGAGGGTCAGACGGAGAAGCAGACTACCTGCTGAGCAGGGAGCCCGATGCGGGACTTGATCCCAGGACTCCAGGATCGTGACCTGAGCCAAAGGCAGTTGCTTAACCAACTGAGCCACCCAGGTTCCCATAGGATTTTCTATCTTATAGCACTCTCTACTTGCCAGCACGGAGCCACTCTTCTACTGAGCTCAATGATACATGATTTTTTTAAATTAATGAATTAATTTTTTATTTAAATTCAATTTAGTTAGCATATAGTGTGTTCTTAGTTTCAGGGGTAGAGTTTAGTCATTCATCATTTGCATATAACACCCAGTGCTCATTACCTCAAGTCCCCTCCTTAATGCCCATCACCCAATTACCCCATCCCCCCACCCACCTCCCCTCTAGCAACCCTCAGTTCCTATAGTTAAGAGTCTCTTATGGTTTGCCTCCCTCCCCATTTTTAACTTATTTCATTTTTCCTTCCCTTCCCCTCTGTTCATCTGTTTTGTTCTTCAGTGAATAAAGAAGATGTGGTATATATATAAAATGGAATATTACTCAGCCATCAAAAAGAATGAAATCTTGCCATTTGCAACAATGGGGTTGGAACTAGAGGGTATTATGTTAAGAGAAATAAGTAAGAGAAAGACAAATACCATATGATTTCACTCATGTGCAATTTAAGATACATGATTTCTAAATCTGCTCTATCCAGCTATACCAGCTTAAAATCCTGTAGCCTACACCAGTGAGGGAGACCAACTATCTTGTCTCTCCACCTTGGAAAATGTTCCCTCATTCATATTGAAATATTCTTGAAGGCCTGCTCTACCACTGATGTGCTCCTGACCTTTACGGCCCACAGGCTATAAAGAAATCACTACTGTGCCGTGCAATCAACAATAGAGTAATACAGACAAAAAAAGGTTCAGAGGGGTTCCTGAGGAGAGATGAATGGGTTGAGCAGTGTGAGAAGAGCAGGGCTTGACTTATTGTCATTGCAAAGGGCTTTCTGGGAAGAATTAGGAGCTCCTGTTGTACTCCTTAGCTCTTAGCAGGTGCTATAAACATCACACCACATTCAATGACGGTATAGATGAATGAATGAATAGTAACCATGACTAAGGAAGGACCTACATGTCTTGCAGCTCCATTTACTAGATGTACATATAGCCAGAGGAGGGTTCCATGTGTCATCTGCCTGGCATTGGCTCTGGGGACTGCCTTTCAGAGTATACCCATCTTCACACTCGAAAGTTATATTATCTCCATAGCGATACACTGTTCTCATTTCCAGTTCCTTCCGGATTCCATCCATAAACTCTGGAAGGATACATTTTACCTCTGAAATTAGAAAAATCAGAAGGAAATTGATATTTTATTGTTAATTGTTAGTTGAAACTGACATAATGGAGAGATCTATGACCCCAAACTGCTTTGCCTTAAGCAAAGATGAGTCATGTTTTCAATCAAGAACTATTGACACCCACTCAACATCTTAGGATTTTAAATTCTCTGACTTTCATTTCTTGGGTAAAGTAAGAGAATATGGAATGTATTACACATCCACTTTTAATTATTGACACCTCTGCAACTATGGAAAGATTGGGAGTTAATGATATCCATGTTCTAACACTGGATCCACTTGGGTCACACAGTAAGGAAACAGGAATGTCACATTAACTCTCTCTAGGTATACAATAGATACTGGTATTTTGCTTCTTGATTGAATGCATGTTTCTGGCTCATTTTTATGCATAGAACAAAGAAACTAGTAAATCATGATTCTAAATTTAAAACATAATTTTCCTACTTTATTTTATCTCATTTAGCTTATTCTTTGTTTTGCTTTCTTTCTCTGCCCAGCTATCAATACCTTCTTCAACTTCAAGCAAAGCCTGCTTTTTAGTTGTAATTATCCCAACATGAGGCTAAATTATTTTTTTCTGTATAGGAACCAATAAGGTAAAGTGGTATTTCCCAAAGTATGGTCTGTGGTCTTCCTACATCAGAATATGATGACAGGTTTGTTAAAAGTAGACCAAACTCCAGCTCAAAATGTCAGAATCAGAGTTCTTAGGAATGGCACTTAAGATCTTAATCTTAATAAGGTTCCTGGCTGATTTTGCTAATGCTAAAAACCTAGAATGACTGCTATAAAGCACATTCCAAGAGGACAGTTATTAAGACAAGAATGAATTTTACTTGAAAGCAGCTGCCAAGAGAATAGAATATTACCCTTTTATTTTCAGGAGAAGAACCTTCCCAGAGTCTTAATTTGAATACTTAATCTTTGAAGTATTCCCTGAATCTTTGTACTTCTCCATGCAACTAAAGCAAGGAGGGGTAAATGTTCCTATTTCTGCAGAGACACAGGGACTCTGCAGTTTATGCAGTCCATTCTTGTAAATAAATACAGGAGAGCCATTTACCATCTCTGTAGAGGACCTCATTTTCGCTCTCTCTAAAATCAGACTGTGGCTAGCCAGGGACGTCTGAGACTTTTAGGTTGGGGAGGAACCTTTGGTCCTATAACCACCATGGCAGCCCTTAGGACTAACTGCTCCTTAACATTTGAAACACCAGCATGTCTGAAGTCCTTCCTACCTCATCCCTGCCCTTAGCTTAGTTTTCTAAAAAGAAAAGAAGGGAGACAAAAAGCAAATTGCTAACTTACAGTTGTGCAAAGTCAAAAGAACCACATTTGAAAGGAGACAGAATATAGTGCAGTATTTAAAAGCATGGGCTGGGCAGAGGCCCAATGCTGGCCCCACCACCCACGAGCTGCGCACCATGGACTAGTTACTGGGTCTCTCTCTCAATTTCCTCTTCTGTAGAATGGCAAGAATAATCCCATCTCATCAGACTCTTTTGGAGACTAACACAAATAATTTTTATTAAAGACCTCAGTACCATGCTTAGTCACAGAATATTATTTTTAATTCCAAATTTTGTAGTTTTTAAGAATATTACCAACAAAAGATTTTAAATTTATGCAAACATAGAAAGGAATAAAGGCAGTAAGTCTTGGCACTTGTTCTAGGGAAGAGATGAAATAAGCACTTCAACTTTGGTCTTAGAAATTATAATAAGGACCCATATTCAGTAATTCCAGGAATTAATTGCTCTCAACCTTGCTCCATGCTTCAATTTTCCTCACCAAAAAAAAAAAAAAAAAAGTGTGCTTCTAGCCTCTTATTTAAGGTATTTGTGAGGACCACTTGTGACCCTCTGAGGTCCTTCAGAGCTGAGATATATTATTAGTTAAAAGCCTGCAAATCATTTTAAATTGGTATTTGATGTCGACTGTATTACTGGAAATTCTATCAGTTCTTCCTACTATTTCCGTAGAACTGAGAATCCTTGGGTAGCCTCCTTCCCATCTTTTTTTCCCCCCTGCTTTTCTCGTCCCCCTAATGATACTCATTTCACAATCTTCTCAGAAAGATCTCTCAGGCTTATTGGCTCCATGCATCCATTTTCCATTAAAAAACCCAGCAAGAATAAGAAATACCTTTGCAATAATGATCAAATTGGCTCCAGGTTCCCTGGTATGTGCAGAATATGAAGGCTCTTCCCACCAACAGGTAGCCTGGGTCACAGGTGTAGTTGACGGTCATCCCAGGAAGATATGGAGATGCATGTCCTTCAATGTAATGCCCATTGTGGATCTTGGGCAGAGGTGGGCATGCTAAGAACAAGATCCCCCCAAAACACAAGAAAAGACATTCAGTTAAACAAAGAAGTACAAATACATCAACATATCTAATAACATCTCTGACTACTAGATACACAGGAAGACCCAGGGCACGTAGATCCCAAGGCACCACTTATTTACCGATCAGTGGGAAGACTGATTCTTTTAATGTAGACTTCTCCACCTTTCAACAGGATCGCCTGTATTCTCTACCCACAAACTGCATCAGATGGGGGTACCACCAGGATCTGCAAACAAGCACTTCAGTGCTGTCTGTCCTCCCTGGTGCACAGAGCTTGTGTGGACAATCACAGCCACAAATGAGCCCCCGATTGTCAGGTACTGTCATTTAATGCCAGACTAATATGTAAAAGGAAGGAGTTTTGGGAGAGGAGAGCACAAAGAGAACACAACCTTGAACTCCACTTCTCTAGGGCATCTTGAGTTCCCGTTGCTAAAAGTGAGACGAAGAGTCAACAAAATGCAGTCACAGGCTGAGCAGAACACTTAGAAGGAACAAAAGGAATACAAATGCCTGCATCGGAGTTTTAGTTATTTCCATAGCATCAAGTCTGAAGTAAAATAAAGCCATCAACATTTGCTTTTTGCTCTGCACACCCATCTATCCAAGAGAAATACAACTTATTTTTTTTTTAAGTAGGTTCCATGCCCAGTAGGGAGCCCAGTGCAGGGCTGAACCCACAACCCTGAGATCAAGACCTGAGCCCAGATCATGAATCAGCCGCTCAACCGACTGAGCCATCCAGGCGCCCCGAAATACAACTTGTAACAGAGATGGCACGACAGAGTATTTTCTTTGGCATTTGTTTTTAGTGTTTGGGAAAATAGTCTCTATAAAGTCTGGACCTCACTGATTCTCCCCACTCTCTCCCTCCTCTTCTCGCTGTCCCACACTCCTCACCCCAGCAGGAAGGGCCATCAGAGTACCACCAGTTGGGACACAGCATGGCACATCTAGAACCCAGCTGTTATTCGCCCGGCAGGTAATTCTGTGTGTCTGACTTTTATAAGAAAGCCATGTTCCCAAGCAAGATGACTGTTCCCATAGAAATAGGGAGGTTCTCGCCTAGATATTCTGATCTATAGGGGGCATAGGGAAATGTGCACTGACCTGCAGGACCAGCAGGTTCACAGCGAGGGGCAGGGCCGCTCCAAATCCCCCTCCCTTGACTGTCACTTGTGCAGTGGATGGTGCTCTCCCCGATGAGGTTGAAGGTCATCCCTCTGGCTGGGTGGTGGTCACATGTGTAAGTAATTTCCTTTCCATAGGGAATGTCTCCCTGAGAAGTTCCGGTGTAGTGCCCATTAAGGATAGAGGGAGGATTTGGACAAAAGATTTCTAGAAAGAAAGCAAGAGCTTTAGGTTCCATTACAGTTTCAATCAAAATGATCATACAACCATGGTGCCCTGGGACTGAATTTTTGCCCTGAGAACACAACTAAGGTGGGTGGATTTAAATATGTAAGACTTTTTCGGAGAAGGAAATAACTGAAGTGAGACTTTAATAGCAGTTTATTGCAAAAGTCCAAGACTCTCCAGGTAGCTAAGATTCAACTGGAAAGGCAACTGATTTGTTTTTCAGCAGCTGTTGTTTGCCTGCTTGATGTCTGTCATGAAGACAGTCCTGGGTTGACACTGGCGGTATAAGACAGATGAGGTTGGTCCTCAAAGATCTGAAGTTGCAAAGAAATCTTAGTAAATCTTTATTAAACATAGACTATTGTTTTCAGCAGATGGAAATGCTTCTTGATGATTCAAGACCACTATCATCTGTATCAATACCAAATACACAATAGTGTCTTCAGAATACACTGATTCCTATAGGGCTCTTCAGAGCCAGAATAAGTGGCTCTAGGAGACTTTTTTTGTTTTTGTTTTTTTCTTCCTTCCAAGTGACCAGCTGTCATTTCCTTCTGCTTTTAGTGTATCTGTTTCTAGCAGTTCTCTCCCTAAAACTAATTTGATGGTTTGAATCTGATATGAATTTAGAAATAGATACCCAAGCCTGTCAGAATCATGTGAATAAACACAATGAAGGCCTTCATACAATGAACAGTGAGTGACTTCTCCTATCTGGATTTTATCTATGTGTTTGTATTTATCTAAAGCTTACTTATGTATTTACTTTCAGATTTCTAAGTCTCAGGAAGGTAGAGTTTGTTGGATATCTGAGTTTTATTCATACTGGATGTTCTTACAAAGTTCCATCACAGTCCTATAAGATGTCCAAATAGATTTCTAGCAAGATATTTTAACAGAATCCAGATTAAAAGGGCGATTCACAACTGAACGAAGGTGGCTCTGTATATTACATTTCTACGCACCTGTGCTTCAAAATCTAAGTGGATTATATCTCGGAGGCTGCTGTGGATCCAAGGGAGTTGGAATCCAAGGGAATGGGGGGAACTGCCCCACCCACATTTGCTGCAACTGACGAAAAAGTAAAACTGGAGAGAGCCCAACATGGTGGACAGGCACCAGAGCTAGAGAATTTGCAGAGGTCCAGCCAGCCTGCCGGGAGAAGCAGGCACCCATCCAGGCAGGACAGAGAGGAGTTTGGAGGCAGAGAAGAAGGAGGAACTTTTTTTTCTTTTTTAAGATTTTATTTATTTATTTGACAGAGAGATAGAGAGAGAACACAAGTAGGCAGAGTGGCAGGCAGAGGGAGAGGGAGAAGCAGGCTCCCCGCTGAGCAGGGAGCCAGACGTGGGGCTCGATCCCAAGACCCCAGGATCATGACCTGAGCCAAAGGCAGCTGCTTTAACCGACTGAGCCACCCAGGCGCCCCAGAGAAGGAGGATCTTGAGGAGCCAGCTCCCTCTTCAGGGCCAGAGACTTCCCTAACGGAGCAGGTAGAAAGCAGAAGTGGTGAGTGACCGACTGGACCCATTTTTCTCCAGCTGCGCAGATTTCTGAGAAGGGACCTCTGCGACTGGGGGAAAGAGGAAAGGGAGGGAGAGGCAAACAAGAATAACAAAGGGCATTGAAGGAACCTGCTCCCTGGCCATCGGCTTTGGGATTTCAGCAGGAGGTTTGCCTTCAGACCTCTGGGAGTACCCTGACTTGAGGATTCTGCCGCCCCTGTTGGGTTGTGGGCACCCACAAAGTAACAGGGACTAAACCCACACCTCCCCCAACTCTGCCTTCAGCTTTTTCTACACCAACTTTTTTAAAACTAGTGCTCCCCAGTGCAGCCCAGAGCCAATGCAGGTAAAGAGAGACCAAACACTTGAGCTATAAATCGCCACCTTCTGGAAATCAAAGGAATGGTCTCTAATTGCAATTATGTTGAACTGCAGTAAACAATTAAAGTTATGTGCAACTTCAAATGGGACGGCAGAGACACATTTTGTCAAACGCTGTGAAAAATCACAGGAACATTGTATGGCAAGTGATCGATTTCAAAGGCATGGAATGTTGCACTCTAAGTGATTAAGAATTCAAAACAACTGTTACAAAGAGATTCCGTGAGCTACAAGAAAACTCAGGAAGGCAATTCAGTGAACTCGGGAATAAAATTAATGAACAGAAAGAGTTCTTTACAAAGATGTGGTATATATATATATACACATATAAATGTAAATATATATATGATAGAATATTATCAGCCATCAAAAAGAATGAAATGTTTCCATTTGCAACCATGTGGATGGAGCTAGACTGTATTATACTAAATGAAATAAGTCAATCAGAGAAAGACAAATACCATATGATTTCATTCATATGTGGAATTTAAGAAACAAAACATGAACATATGGTATGGGAAACAAACAAAAAAGGAGATAGAGGGAGACAAACCATAAGACTTTTTTTTTTAAAGATTTTATTTATTTATTTGAGAGAGAGAGCCTGAGCTGGGAAAGAGGGAGAGACAAACTCCCCACTGAGCAGGGAGCCCGATGTAGGGCTCAATCCCAAGACCCAGGGATCATGACCTGAGCCAAAGACAGATGCTTAACCAACTGAACCACCCAGGTGTTACCCATAATAGACTCTTAAGGATAGAGAACAAACTGAGGGTTGATGGAGGGAGGTGGGTGAGGGATGAGATAGATAGGTGATGGGTATGAAGAAGGGCACTTGTTATGATGAGCGCAGGGTGTTATATATAAATGATGAATCACTGGATTCTACTCCTGAAACCAATATTGCACTGTGTATTAACTAACTAGAGTTTAAATAAAACTTTGAAAAAAAGGAAGAGTTCTTTATCAAAGAGATTGAAATTAAAAAAAGAACCAGACACAACTAAACCACCCTTTTATTTTATGAACAATAAAGTTTTCTATATCTCTAAAACAAACCAACAAACCAACAAACCAGACAGAAATTCTGGAGATGACGAATTCAATGAATCCAATGAAGAATAGGTTAGAGAGTTTAGGAAATAGGACAGATCAGATTAAGAATAGGTTAGTGACCTGGAGGATAGAAATTTAGAAATAACTCAGAAGAGGAGTGAGAACTAAGATTTTTAAAAAAGTGATGAAACCCTATGAGAGGTATTAGATATGAGAAAAACAAATATAAGGACAACGGGTCCACCAGAAGAAGAAGAGAGGGAGAAGGGAGCAAGAAGTATCTTTAGAAAAATAGTAGCTGAGAACTTCCCTAATATGGGGAAGGAATTAAACATATAAAGCCAAGAAGCTACTAGAACACCCTATTATCTCATTGCAAAAAGACCCTCCCCAAAATATCTTTTTAAAAAAAATATTTTATTCATTTATTTGACAGAGACAGACACAGTGAGAGGGAACACAAGTGGGGAAGAGGGAGAAGCAGGCTTCCCGCTGAGCTGGGAGCCCAAGGCAGGACTCAATCCCAGGACCCTGGGATCATGACCTGAGCCGAAGGCAGATGCTTAACGACTGAGCCACCCAGGCGCCCAAACCTCCCCAAAATATCTTGTAATGAAACTGCCAAAAATCAGTGATCAAGGGGAAGCGAGGAACAATATATTCAAAGTGGTGAAAGAAAAATTGCCCGCCAACAATACGTTATCTAGCAAGATTAGCCTTCAGATGTGAAAGAGAAATAAAAGCTTTCCCAGAAAAACAAAAACTGAGGGAGGGTCACCACCACCGCGAGACCTGCCTTACAAGAAATGTTGAAAGGTCTTCAGCTGAAATGAAAAGACATCAGCGAGTGACATAACAGCAAGTGAAAATACACAGTACTCTAGCAAAGGTGAAGAATAAACCGAAAACCGTAACTCTCTATTGTTGACCACCTAATTATAATATTAAAGCTCACAGAAAAGAGCATTCAATAGAACTGTACCTACTATAATTTCACAATGACTTCACAGCATGAAAAGAAGTAAACTAACAACAAAAATATAAAAGGGGAGGAGTAGAAGGCTGGAAGCTTTATAGGTGAATGAAGATAAGGCGTTATCGGTTCTGAAGCCCGCCAGGTCCAGAAGCCTGGGTGATCCAGGTTCTGCTAGGAGAAGCCAAGCTTCCCAGAGAATGTTTCAGAAAAAGTGACGTGGAATGGGGGCATTTCGTAGACTCCTAAGAGACCTCCAGAGAAGACATGGCTTCCAGAGAAAACACAAAGAGGACAAACAGAGTGCTAAGAGTAAGTCAGCTGGATGCACTTGAACTTAAAAGGCTCTGGAGCAGCTGGTTTGGCCCCAGTTTACTCTCTGCTTTCATGGATTTAAGCCAGGTCCCTTCGCCCACTTTGAACCAGAGGTGAAAGGGTTCTTGTGGCTTTTCTTGTGGCGATTGACCGTTTACTCTAAAGATGCCACCATGGGACATTCCATTTTGCATGTTCAGTACAAAAAACAATGTTTTCCCGAAGCCCAGGTACCAGCCTCAGTGGCTACAACAGCATGGCCACCACTTGTTTCAAAACCGCCATTTGGCGTCATTTGGCAAAGCCAGGCAGCGCGTGAATATCATGGTTGAACTTTTGAAATTAGGTGGGCTGATTAATTTCCTGATTTTCCTTCAGAGGGGCAAGTTTGCAACTTTGCCAGAACGTTCCCTAGCCATTCGTTCTGTATGTCACAAGCCCCGAAACAAAATGTGAAGTTGGCTTTGAGTATATGACCAGGGAATTTTTCTGGCATGGTTTTGCTGAGTTTCGGATTTTTCTCTTACCACGTATTAATATCCAGAAGTTGAAAGCTGAGTGATCTTCATGATGTATTCCTCTTACTGGTGTTCCCAACAGTGACAAGACATTAGCCACCAGCGGCAAACAGTGTTCTCTGTGCCGAGAGCGGCCCCCGCATGCCTCAGACCGGAGGAGGTGAGCATATGTTCTGTTACTACTGTGTGAAGAGTAGTTTCTTATTTGACAGGTACTTTCCTTGTCCTAAG